CTATTTCCTGCATTAGTTTAATAATTACAATCATTTTCCCCCAATTCCCTAACTCTATGATGTGGTAGCCAAGGAACTTTTTCTATGCCCTTCCCAAATATTACAAAACTAAATCCACCATATAAACTTTTCACATGTGATGTAAATCCACAATTTAACCCTTTTACCAATTTTACCATCATTCACAATCCTTTTTTCCCCCCTTCACATCACTAACTATGTACAGTTTTCCATTCTTCCGTGAATCTATATCCAAAACATACCTAAGCTTACTAATTTCTGTACACATTCATATTGTATTAATATACAATTTCTCTTCTTCTTCTGCATGAATGTAATTATGCAAGGGTTCATGACTTAATATGGTTTTCTGCAAGTCCGTCTTGCTTCACTCCTTCCTTTCACTTTGTTGTACAACAACACACTTATGGACTGTGTCGGCACTTTCTTGACAGGCACTCGCATCACACGCGTTGCCGAGGGACGTACGTCTCTCTGCAAACCCCGACACTACCTTCGTACATACGGCTAAGAATGTCGGCGTTCACATTCTGACTACCCCTCCCATGTTTAATCTTAATATTCAGATGCTGAATTGCCAATGACCATCGCATCAATCTGGGATTATTCCCGGAACATTGTTGCAACCAAACCAGAGGATTATGGTCGGTTTCTACCTTTAGGCAAACATTCCCATCGAAATAGTGCTTAAACCGCTGTAGCCCCCATATAATCGTTGCATATTCTTTCTCCGTTACGCAATATTTCATCTCCGAAGGAGAAAACTTCTTACTGAGAAATAACACGGGATTCTCATTCCCGTCCTCATCTAACTGAGAGAGTGCAATCCCCGCCCCTCTGTCGGACGCGTCGCACTGCATTAAAAATTCCCTGCTGAAATCAGGCGCATGAAAGTTCACCGCACAGAGCTTCCCGCAGTTCAACAAATGCATTTTCACAATCGTGCGACCATGCTATTTTCCCTTGTCGTGTACTTCCCCTTAACAAATCGGTGAGAGGCGCAGCCTTCTCCGAAAATCGCGGCACAAAACGCCTGTAATAGGAAATTAATCCTAGAAATTTCCTAATTTCTTTTTTTGTAATCGGTCTCGGATATTCCCTAATCGCGCATACTTTCACTTCGACTTCATAAGACCTGCCAATTTCGTAGCCCAAACACATTACGGTTCCGCGAGCAAACTTACATTTCGCCAGCTGAACGTGCAGTTTCGCCTCCCTTAGTATTTGGAATACCGTGCGTAAGTGACGCAGGTGATCCGACCAATCATTACTGAAAATTGCGATATCCATGTAAGGAATAGCAAATTCCGAACAATCCTTAAGTAATGCCGCCATTAATTTACTACACACATAAGGCGCAATCTTAATCCCAAAAATCGTAGTGGTTTGTACCTTCCAAAATTTGTGCAGAAAGTGGCATACCTCTCCGCTCTTTCCGTCATCCAAACTTGCCAAAAGCCTTTGCTTAAATCACAAGTAGATATGATTTTAGCAGTTGCTACCGTTTCGATTCTCTCCTCTAAACTAGGCAGTGGAACATATTCGGTTTTAATAACTTTATTAAACCTCCGATAGTCAATACAGGGCCTAGGTTTCCTCCCTGGAGCTTCTACTGAAATCATGGGTGACGCAAAATCAGAATCCGAGCTTTCAATTATTCCGTCCTTTAACGTTTTAGCAATCTCTTTTTGTAAAATCATACTGTCTCATTAACGTGCGATAAGGCGCTCTCCTAACTTTCACTGTATTGTCAATCAGTTCGATTTCCATTTCTACCTTCTCAATGAAACCTGGCTTATCAGAAAAAATGTCCCTCTATTCCACAATTAATGCTTTTAGTTTATCATACATTTCCGGTGTAGCAACTGTATCTACAAGCATTGACTCGGCATCGAAGTCGCCCACTTCTAGCTTTAGCGCATACTGATCGATCGCGTCATCCGTTGCCTCATTTTCATTCCTACTCTCCGCAACAAAATTTATGTGTTCCGTCCTTTGCCGATACGCTTTCATCATTATCACGTGATAAACTTTCCCGGATCTCTCTTCAGGTAATCTTACCACATAATTTACTTCCGAAACCTTTTCTGTGACTTCTCCCGGTCCCGTCCACTGAACAGGGTCTTTTTTGTCCTATTAGGAGCAAAGATCAATACTTTATCGCCTACACTAAAATTTCTCACAACTGCCTTTTTGTCATAAGCAATTTTACTTTTCTGTTGCGCGCTCTTTAATCTTTGATGCGCTGTTTCCCTAATATGCTTCAGGTTATTTATTAGTTCAAACACATACTCAGTTACAGAATTACTCTCTGGATCATTTTCAACAATATTTTCATACAAAAGTGTCACCTGTGTCCTCTAATTTTTACCTAATACTATCTCTGCCGGCGTATACCCTAAAGACTCGTGAACCGACGTTCTCATAGCAAACAACATTGCCGGAAGATTCGTCTCCCCGTCACCTCCTGCCTCTAAGCACAAAACTTTGAATAATCGATTCATCGTCCGGTGTATTCTCTCTACCGAATTACTTTGCGGGTGATACGATGAGCTACGTACTAATCTAATTCCAATTTTTTCTAAGAATTCTACCATCAGGTTGCTCGTAAAACATGTTTCCTGATCCGTTTGAATTTCTAGTGGAAATCCGGTCCTGCTAAACAATTCCAATAATGCCTCTATGATATTGGTCGTCTGCAAATCCTTCATGGGAATACCGTGGAATAATAATCCTCGGGATACCGTGAAGCTACACAAATCGCTGTTAAAATGTGTTTTGCCCCAGAACTACTTTGCGTAAACGGCCATACTGTTTCAATATTTAGTTTAGAGAACACTTCACTAATTGTAGGCACAATAACTAAAGGTGCTTTTCTCTTATCCCCA